ATCCGGCAGCTTACTGGAGGTTCATTAAGCAGTTCGAATACTTTGTCGAAACCCGGGTGAGTGACGGTGGGCAGCGGTTGCTCTATTTAGTTTATTATTGCAAAGGTCGTGCAAAAGAGGCTATAAGCGAGTGTGTAATGCTGCCTCCTGAACAGGCGTATCACAAGGCTAGATCCATACTCCGTGAACTGTTTGGCCAGTGTCACGTTGTTGTCCGATCACTAATCGAAGGTCTGCTTACTGGGCTGAGACCGCTTGATGGGGATCATGACGCTTTGTCGCGTCTCTCCATAAAACTAGCCAATTGTTATGTGGCCTTGTCTCAGATGAACTTTACTGCCGATTTAGACTCCGTGGCTACTATTGTGCGAATAGTCCGTGTTCTCCCAAATGCACTGTAAACCAGATGGGCAAGAACAGCCGATTCAATTGTTCAAGACGGGCGGGACGTTGTTTTTAAGGACTTGGCCGATTTCGTTGCCACGGAAGCTCGGATTGCCCGTTGTAGGTTCGGGCAGATAGCAACACCAATTGCACCACGACAGCTGAATGAGGCTCGGCAGCGACGAGTATTTCAAGATAAGGGAAGCGGTCGTAACTTCGCCCTATATACTACATTAGATACCTCAAAGGAATCAGTGTGTCTGGCTTGCGGTGACCATCACAGTACATCTTCATGCGCTATGTTTGCAGGCCTGGATGTATCTAGGCTCTGGGATCTGGTTCGAGACAAGGGCGGCTGTTATAATTGTTTAGAGATTGGTAATCGTGCCGCCAGCTGCCTGGTCAGCAAGGGTTGCAGCTTGGCCACATGCAAGAAGCGACATCACTCACTGTTACATAACGAGTCAATACCGAAGACGCCCAAGGAAAATTTGAGCCACTGTCACAATACTTACAGCACACCCGGTACGGTCTCGCTCGGAGCGGTACCCGGCGTTTGGTAGGCCCCTTGCGATCTATCGAGACCTATGCTTTGATCGATAGCGGTTCCGATATAAGCTTGGTACAGGAAGATATTCTGCGGGAAGCTGGAGTAGAGATCGAACCTGCTTCTTTGAAAATGCAAACGGTAAATGCAGGTACCTCATTAAACGTGGGGCTGGCTAGGTTCCAATTGTTTTCTCTGAACGGTTCCGATAGTGTGCTTGTAGATCATGCATACTGTTTGAGTCACCTGCCATTACAACCCTTGACAGCTCCTGTCAGTCAATTAGCTGAGAAGTGGCCACATTTGATGGACGTCAAATTCGATGATTTGAGTGACCCAGGGGCAGGATACTACCGGGGGCCGACGTTCCAGAAGCTCACTGGCAGTTTGAACGACGAGACGCAAGACGAAAACGCCCATTCGCTGTAAAAACCCTACTCGGTTGGACCCTACATGGTCCCGTTGGTCGGAGTACCCGGCAGTGTGCCTCCGTGAATTTTGTGCATTCTGATGATATTCCGCTTGAAGGGCAACTCAAAGTCTTGTTTGATAGCGGACTTGGACGTGTTGGCTCGAGTAGTCGGTCATTATCCGGGGAAGATAAAACAGCCCTGTGTATTGTTGAAAGTTCCGTACGCCTCATTGATGGTCATTACGAAATAGCCCTGACGTGGAGAAATCATAATGCCAATGTTCCTAACAATTACGAAGCAGTTCGGCGTAGGTTAGGCCATTTGCGTAAACGGTTGTCAAGTGATCCGTCATTACGAGAACGGTAAATCTCGGTTTTAAGGAAGAATGCGGAGAAAGGTTACGCAGTTCCTGTACCGTGCGATCACCTGCGACCAGACTACAAACCAAGGTGGTATTTACCGCATCACGCAGTGAGCAATCCGAAGAAAGCTGACAAACTCAAAGTGGTGTTTGATTGTGCGGCAAAGTACAAGGATCTTTCTCTGAATGACCAACTCTTTCAAGGTCCAGATACTACGGCTAACCTAATTGGTATTCTTATGCGTTTCAGGATTGAACGGTTGGCAGTTTCTGCTGACATTGAAGACATGTTTATGCAGGTGAAAGTGCCCCTGCGCGACAGGGGGGCGTTACGGTTTCTTTGGTGGAAGGATGACTCGATTGGTTCAGAAGTGGTTGAATATCAAATGACGGCGCATCCATTCGGTGCAACCGTCACCCTTTTGTGCCAATTTCGCCTTGTGTCGAACAGCTGCTGGTTGGAGACCTCTTTACAGTGAAATCGTGGCAGAAGCTGTTCACAATAACCTACGTTGACGACCTCTTGATATCGCTACCGAACGTGAAGGAAGCAATGCAATTTGTGGCACGGCTCAGACAGATGTTAAGCAGGGGTGGATTTAAGCTGTGCAAATGGGTCTGCAGTCATGAAGAGGTGTATCGTGCGCTTCCGCAAGCTGAGATAGCTGAGTCCATCAAACCGATAGCTGAAGTCCCTGGGGTGGTTAGGAGAACTTTGGGAATTGCCTGGGACTCCCGTGAGGACAATTTTCTTTATCAGTTCACCATACCCGAGAGGCCAATTACGAGAAGGGGCAAATTGTCTTCTGTGTATTCTGTCTATGACCCTTTGGGTCTGATCGCCCCCTTAATTATGCCTGCAAAGTTATTGTTACAAAGACTATGTCGAGAGAAACTACATTGGGATGACCCAGTCACTGGTGATGGCTGTGACATTTGGACTTCCTGGCTACGTGAGGTGAAGGCGATAGACATCCTAAAGGTTCCTCGGTGCATTCGTAAGCCTGGGGAGACAAATGAGCGGCCGCAACTACACATCTTTTGCGATGCTTCTGAAGCTGGGTTTGGCGCAGTTGCTTATGCTAGGTTTCATGCTGAAGACACATCATATTGCTCTCTGTTATACGCGAAGTCGAGAGTAGCCCCTCTGAAATCAGTGTCAATACCGCGACTGGAGCTATCGGCAGCCATGTTGGGGACAAGGTTATATGAAGATTTAACTGAAGGAGCTCACAAGAGTTTCGATAAACTTGTGTTTTGGACTGACTCTACGACGGTTTTGTACTACATAAATGACTCATCTAAAAGATTCAGCACCTTTAGTTCCAACCGACTGTCGGTCATACAGGAAGTAACTGAGCCCAGTCAGTGAAAGCATATCAAATCAGGATGCAATCCGACAGACCTGCTGTCTAGAGGCACTACATCCGTAACATCCTTGAAGCGCGGGCTTCTTGGCCCAGAATTCCTACCGGGTGTCGAGGATGAGTGGCCTGAGTTTTGTCCGAGTTCTGAGCCAGCCAAGTTAGAATTGAAACGTTCCACCACACAGGTTTGTGCGACATCAAGTGCAACACAATTATCGCTCCTTATCAGCAGATATTCCGACTGGACTAAGTTGCTAAAAGCGGTGGTGTGGTTATCACGATTCAAGCAGCAGCTTTACGTCCGCAGACAGGAAGCTGCTTTGGCCGCGCAACCCAATAGACTAATTACCCTGTCTGAACTCAACCGAGCAGAGTGTGATGTCATCCGGCTTGCGCAACTCGAAGCTTATGGAACAGAGTTGGAACGGCCTGAAAAGGCGAATGCAGACCCAACAGCGTCTAAGCTGGAGATACGGCGAGGTCCTTTGGCCCGTCTCAACCCGTACTGCGCGGTGGCCCCCTTTGTGTTGGTGGCAGGCTGGCGTATTCGGAGTACGACGCTGCGTTTAAGTTCCCGGTTATCCTGACACCTAAACACGCTGTTACTGAACTTCTGATCCGATTTTATCATTCGATGGAAGGTCACTCGGGAGTTGCTGAGGTCCTGGCGAGCTTGCGCCGTAAATATTGGATCGTTCGCTGGATGTCGGTAATGAAACGGTTGATAGGGGCTTGTTGGATATGCAAGAAACGGCTTGCTACCACCGGTGAGCAGCTGATGGCGCCATTGCCGTTAGCTCGGATGGAACGTGGGTGGCACCCATTCAAATCGGTCGGCGTGGGTTACTTTGGGGGGGGGGGACTTTGGGGGGGGGGAGCGGGGGGGGGGGGGAAGAGGGGGGGAGGGTGTTGGTTGGGGGGGGTTGGGTACTTTGGGGGGGGGGGGGTGGGGGAGGGGGGGGTGGTGGGGGGGGGGGGTGGCTTTGTGGGGGGGGTGTTGGGGGGGGGGGGGTGGGTGCGGGGGGGGACTTTGGGGGGGGGTTGGTAGCTTGGGGGGGGGGGGGGGGGGTGGGGTGGGTGGTGGGGGGGGTGGGGAGGGTGGGGGGGGGGGTGCGGGGGGGGGTGTGGGGTGGGGGGGGGGGAGGGGGGGTGGGGGGGGGGGGGGGTGGTGTGAGTGGGGGGGGGTGAGAGGGGTGGTGGGGGGTGGGGGGGGGGGGGGGGGGGGGGTGGGGGGGGGTGGGGGGGGGGGGGGGGGGGGGGGGGGGGGGGGGGGGGGGGGGGGGGGGGGGGGGGGGGGGGGGGGGGGGGGGGGGGGGGGGGGGGGGGGGGGGGGGGGGGTGGGGGGGGGGGGGGGGGGGGGGGGGGGGGGTGGGGGGGGGGGGGGGGGGGGGGGGGGGGGGGGGGGGGGGGGGGGGGGGGGGGGGGGGGGGGGGGGGGGGGGGGGGGGGGGGGGGGGGGGGGGGGGGGGGGGGGGGGGGGGGGGGGGGGGGGGGGGGGGGGGGGGGGGGGGGGGGGGGGGGGGGGGGGGGGGGGGGGGGGGGGGGGGGGGGGGGGGGGGGGGGGGGGGGGGGGGGGGGGGGGTGGGGGGGGGGGGGGGGGGGGGGGGGGGGGGGGGGGGGGGGGGGGGGGGGGGGGGGGGGGGGGGGGGGGGGGGGGGGGGGGGGGGGGGGGGGGGGGGGGGGGGGGGGGGGGGGGGGGGGGGGGGGGGGGGGGGGGGGGGGGGGGGGGGGGGGGGGGGGGGGGGGGGGGGGGGGGGGGGGGGGGGGGGGGGGGGGGGGGGGGGGGGGGGGGGGGGGGGGGGGGGGGGGGGGGGGGGGGGGGGGGGGGGGGGGGGGGGGGGGGGGGGGGGGGGGCCCATTTCTTGTTAAACACGGGCGAAAGCAGGAAAAGCGGAACGGGTGTCTATTTACCTGTCTACAAGCGAGAGCCGTACATCTTGAAATTTCCCATACCTTAACTACCGACTCGTTCATTGTGGCCTTGATGCGATTTGTCTCCCGTAGTGGGACTCTGGTCGAAATATTCAGCGACAACGGCAGCAAGTTCGTAGGCGTCGTATCAGAGTTGCGTACTGCTGTCAAGGGATGGCCTCAAGCAAGAATCAATGATAGACTCCTTAGCATGGGAGTCCAATGGCACTAAAACCCTCCAATGTCCAGCCATGGGGGAGCGTATGTGAGCGCGTGATCAGGTCTGTTAGGAGGGTGCTGTTATCGATTGCGACACAACAGACGCTTAATGAGGAAGCGCTCAGTACTCTGTTTGTTGAAGCGGAGCGCATCATCAACAGCAAGCCGTTAGTACCTTTGACATCGGACCCAAACGACCGTATGGCCCTTACCCCCAACGATTTACTGCTACTGCGACCTAATGCATCGCATTTCCTTGCGGCTTCTCTAACCGAAGAATATAGACGCGGTTGGCGGCAAGTCAATTACCTGACGGCGTTGTTTTGGAAAAGATGGGTCGCAGAGTACTTGCCCTTGTTACACTCCAGACAAAAGTGGCTGCGAAGGATTCAAAACTTCAGACCAGGGGATGTAGTTTTGGTCTCTTCCGAAACAGGTACACGTGGCACGTGGCCCATGGGGACTGTTGACCCCTTTATAGGTTTTGAAGACGGGCTTGTCAGGACTGCAGTTGTTAGGACCAAGAATGGGCTGATCACAAGGGATATACGAAAGTTGTGTTTGCTAGAAGGGAGCGACATGAGTAGGGATGCAGTTCCGGCTATTGGCTCGCCGCAGGCGGGAGGCGGGTCTTCGGGTCTGCCGCACCAGGGAGGACCGCTGTGAGTCCAATAGCCGAAGTGGGAGGCCTCTGGCGTACCGGTGTAAGTCCGTTGGCCCCCCAGCGTGAATGGAGCCGGCTTAGGGCGTTCCAGAGCAGAAACATCCGACTCCTTCAATGGAAAATCCGGATCGGATTTTGGTGGGCAGTGTAGAAAGAACTTTGACCACCTCAGTCTCTCCCATGTTGAATGCCCAATTCTACATTGCTCGGCCGTCCACATCGATTATGTTTACTAACTCCCTTACTTTCCATTCCTTTGTTCTCTGCCTCGATGCTCTTAGCGAGTGACCCCGGTAACTCATCTTAACTTCTCCCCGCCCCCATGGACCTGTCATTGTTCTCTTGACATAAGCGATTTTGTGTTCCCACAACTCATGTATCCAGTGTGGCAGGTCTGTCTGTCCTCAGCCCGTTTCCGTTGGCGGACGCTTACGATTGGCTCAATGGCCTTATCATAACTTCGGTCTCCCCTCTGTGTTCATTTGTTTCGTGTGCACCTTGGATTACGGACCTTTTGTGGAACTGATTGAAATCTGTTGGTAAACTTTTGTGGTTGGAAAACCGTGAAGGAAATTTCTACTTTGGTACGATGAATTTGTACAAATAGCACCGTTTTCTCAGGTCCGGATCTGGTCTTTTGTTAAATTTTCCGGTGGGGAACGCGTAGCTTAAATTTTCAAACGCCTTGTAGCGTTTCAACGGTTGTGGAAGCAAGCAAACAGTTGGACAAGAAAGGGTACTATCTATTGCTGTAGCGGACGTTACGGGCCTAATGACCAATCAGTCCGCAAGCGTATTCGGAGAGGTTAGGAGTCTTTGTTTCACAGATGGCACAGCGTTGTTGTCATTTTAGCCTTGGTAGGTGTGCTTGGTTTCACCGCGAACTATTAGGACTCGTTCTAGAAATAAAAAGCTTTCGAGGATGGCCGCTGTTCTCATTAGTGGATGGCGTGTCTTTAGATATTTTGCCTCTTGTTTTGGGTGTTATTTTCGAAGCACTAATCGCACCGACGTCTGTTTCCCGTGAAGCAAGCGAGGACAGGTTTGGCAGCGGTTTGGTGCGATCCGGCGTGTTTAACTTTATATCTGCATACATACTGTATGAAGCATTTTCAGACCGTGAACTTACCGATAAAGCTTTCTTCGTAGTTTAGCACGAGACGACATCCTGTGTACTGGTGAATCTCTAGGAACTTCCCAGCTATAAAGTGGTTGGCCCGCAGCCCACCAGTTAAACGAAACGGTTTTTGGTTACGTCAAGCGTTGATGCAATCCACATTTTTCTATCTCGTGCTGCTTAGGCCAGACTGCGCAGTAGCATCAACTGACCAGGACAAAACCTGTTTATGTGCGCGCGGTAAGTGAAGCATTTTTCGCGTGTCATTATCACTGAGTTTCGGCGCAGCAGCAAATATCCAGTGGCCTGTTTACTGAATGATTCATCCAGCTTGGAAGTCCAGGTATATAGGCAGCTGCAGCAACCAAATCATAGAAAAGCGGCCGTGCTGGACGCCATCCATCCCAGTTTTTGTACCACATGGCTGTTTTGCCGTGCCAACCGATCCCTTACAGGTTCGAGAAATCTATTCGGAGCTGCTCTACCTACCAATTAGAGAGTGGCTAGCGATTGTCCTGTTTACAAACAGAGCGATAATCATCTCCTGGAAAAGTACAGGCAAGCTAGCCTGACAAACGTACTGGTTAAGCTATTAGCGACGTTGGCAAGGAATGTCTCCGAAATGCACATGGTGGTTTAAGTTGCTCAATCCGTTCCAATATAGACTCCGCAGAGTTTACTCCTACTTAGCCAAACTGTTGGTGGCCCGAGAAGGTTGAGCTGAGGCCAAAGATCTAAGACGGGCGGTAGACATTTTGTTCAATAACTTTTTCAAAACACCTGACACCGTCCCAAACTGTCGCATTGTTTCTTAATAAAACTACTGCCGTGTTACTGGTCAAGTATTTATATGGATTTCGGTATTCCTAAATGGAAGAGTGCTAAGCTTTCGAGTGGGATCCAGGATCTCTAACAACCAAGCCTTTCTGAGTGCTATTTCCCAGAGCTCCGTTCTCGGTCCAATTCTGACCGTGGTGTATGCTAATGACTTATCTGAGGACCACAAAGTGCCAATTCTCCTGTTAGCAGATGTTCTAAACGTTGGTAGTGCAAGGTGCGATCCTGTTGAACCCTTGGCTTTATACATGGTTTACAACATGCTTTTAGTGTTCTGATTTGTAAATAAATGAAAACACAATTTATTATCGACAGTGCGAGACTCGCTTGCGTAGACATGATCAAATTAACCAAAATGCAAAGAAGAATGCTGTGGGGAAATAGTTACTAACACTGTGCCGGCCTAATAACTATTGTGCCCCACCGGCACATAGCCAGTTGCAGAGCGGAGGAGCGGGGAAGATATCGAATGAAGACTGCATAGAAGCACAGTTCCTGGGGCGTTTCTATGTATTACTCCATTACTTCACTTGATACGTTCGACACCTCGGTAACTGTTACTTTTACCAACACCTTAGTACATCTGACATCTCCAATCTGCCAATCGCGCACAAACACATTAGGGATCCATCATAGAAAACATAAACAATCAATTACTATAGGCGAGCCCGATGTACAGATTGAGCAGGCCACTAAGTTGAACTGTGGCTCACATCGTCAAAAAGTGGATTATTTATAGTTGGTATTTTAAAACTACTTTATAGATTTGTTGCAACTCTGCCAGTAATAAACGGGTATATATGCGCACACTATATGACTGTATGTAGGCAAAGATTTATCTAGCTGTGTTGATTGAATGTGTTAGTGTTAAGCTACATTTGGGATTGTGTTCGGTAGGGTTGTCGTTATGAGAAGGGTACAAATAAATCTTCGGCTTGGAGGGCTGACGTTAATGGAGTAAGGTAAGTCATCTAGAAAATCAAGGGTGGTGACTTTATTTAGCGATGGGTCACATCCGCATCATCGCGGTCTTTATAAACAAGGTTACGAGGCCTTCTATTTTAGAGTACGCTTGCTAGACGGGAACCCAAAATGTCCTGGAAACTTGCAGATCAACTATTCGTTGGAACGAGATGGACTCGTACCAACCAGCTGGCGCCACGTTCATGTTGTTCGGCGAACCCCCAGCTGCCGAGAAAACTTCTCAAGAGTCCGGTACTACTCACCAAACCAAGAACGCATTGTACTAGTTTTTTCCTTGCCGGAAATTCACTAGCGCAGGTTGCCTACCGAAATAACTTAGATATTTCACTATCCATTGAAGATAAATCCAGTCAGAACTAGACGGCCGCCACGCATTACAGTTTTCGAGTGCGGTGGAAAATCCGCGGAGAGTTCGGGAGCAATACGACGGCGATTTTTATTATATTGTCCTCATGCTGCATGAGAACGTAATTAGAGTACAGCGTGCAGGCCTGGCCGCCGAGATAATTAACCGCTTAAAACGCTAGTTGATTGTGTACAGAGGGCTGGCACAAAATGCTGCATCTGTTAAGGCATCATTCCTGTCCCGATAGGCCGCTCAGATGATTGATGTATTCGATGCACTAAAGGCGCCTTCAAAACAACTTATACTTTACGTAACTTTTTATGACTGGTTCGATGGAGGTCTCATCTGTTTCGACTGTTTCATCCTACCGGGAAGACAACTATTCCTGGAAGCAGCAGAACATATGATCCGAACGCCCCTAGGGCCGAATTTCGTTTGGCATCTAGGGTCGTAGATTCATGGAATACACTGCAAAAAGAGATGGTGCTAGCATTAGCTTTGAATAAGTTTGCGAATCTATTTGATGTCATTGGAATAGGTAGTAAACATTTCTTCTTCGGCCCTCAAACTCCGCATCCATTTAAGTGACTTTACAACATATTGCTATATAAACATACTTTGCGCTTTTGCACTTACAGTAACATGATCAGCTTGTGGTTTGTGTTGTTTCTTTTTCCTGTTCTTTAGGCTTATTCTCTAGGCCAGTAGCTGGATGACTGCAAATGCAGATCAGGTGTGCAGTGATTAATTAAAGATGACCCAATTCGTACGTATTAGATTGCCTCGCCTCG